AAAAAATATTCTTTCTTTCTGATAGCAATCATAAACCCCAGCATTGTATGTATGTTCGCATCTGTGGCCAAGCTGTGTTTTCACTTCAGAGCTACATCCTGGATACTGGAGAATGCTAACACCTGTCTAATTTCTTTATCAACTAGCTGTCCCTATCCTCTTACCATTCAAGCATATGGGGAGAAAAAAAAAAATCCAGACAAGCCCGATGTTTGCTAAATGGAGAAACAGATACATAAATTGCTTTTCTGTTACAGTTCTTTTTTGTGCCTCGTGACTTTGGCAGAAGAGAGCTTTGAGCTAGCGAGCAAGCCAGCAAAGGGAAAGCACTCCCCAGTCAAATGCAGCAGGTAGTTGTCAGCTCTCACCGTTCTAGTTCTGCCATGTAGTTACATAAATTATCTTTCTATCTTACCGCTTACTAATAAAGGGACTGATTTCTTTTTGGCTTGCTGAAGAAAGTCTCAGAGACGGTTTTGAAGTGATAATACAGTGTGTTTGCTCAAGAGCAAATTCCTTGTAAAGCGAATGCATAAAGCACAGCAATACTACCTTGAGAAAGCAGAATGCAAGACAAATAGGCTGGCAATGTTGAAAGAATGAAATGGCCTGATAACAGCAACTTCTTCCTGAAGTAGTTAATTGTGAAATGTTTTACATAGTGTAAACTACTTATAATATTTTTTTCAAGTATTTACTCTGAAATGTATTCCTAGTTGCTATTTTAATTATTAAGTGGAGATGAAGGCCTTGTAGGCTGATCACAAACCAAAATAACCAGACATTAATTACAGAGTGAAAGGTAAGGTCATCCAAGCTTGGAAAAGCTGTTTAAGGTGGTTCAGAAATCCTTCAGTGAACTGTGTTGTGACAGATGGTAAGGTTACGCGATAGCCTGTAACAAAATATAGCATTTTTGTAATAACATCAACGCTACTGTAGGTATAAATGCACTTCTTTAATCTGAGCTCTGAATCTTTCAAATATCCCAGTCCATTTGGCATGTTCTGCTTTGCAGAAATATCAGGGGGGTTGGGGGGAAGCCCAACTGTTAGTTTGGTTACTGCTTGTATGTTTGAGATTTTTTCTGGAGAATTCAGCCATATCCACCAGCACCACCTAGACACTGGTGCTATGTTCATGCCAAGAGCAGCACAGATCCTAAAGGACTTTTTCCTCTCTTATGCCTCTCCTTCCCACTCTGTTAGAGGGAATGGAGTCCTCACCATTTACACTATCACCGCACTAGGTGAAGGCTGGCCATAATGCTGGCTAGTAATGGTGCAAATACCACCTTAAAGAGCTCCATCAGTCTCAAGATAAAATGCTGTCATAACTCCAGCAAGTGCAGAGGATCTGTTGGTAGCTAGAGATTACTTTGCAGAATAGACATGGAGACTGAAACAGCAGAATAGGCAAAAGATATCATCTGTTTCTCTGCTTAAAAAGTCATCCTATTCCACGATGGGAGCAATCATCCCAGTTCTTGATACAAGTGAAAGGAGGCCTTTGTTAGGGTTTTGGGGCACATTTGGAATTGTGACAACCTGTCTTTTCTCCCATCCTCTGAGGATTCATCCATGCTTGCAGCTCTGGGTTATTTGGATTGAGTTGTGGTCTGTGACCACAACCAACCATCATAAGCTGCGTGCCTTCTGGTTAGAGGCATCTGGCATTCTCAGACAAGTCCTTGCTGCCATCAAAGATATGCCAGTATTGAAAGCTGTTCCAGTGTTAGTACCCTCATAGATTTGACAGACTCAGAACTAATTACTCTAGGTAGGGTCTCTTGTCTTCATTGTCATTGTCTAACACCAAATAAATGCCAAATTAAATGGGAATAAACCAGACCTGACAGGCAATATCTAATCAAAAAATCAGGAAACTGCTTTACATTAGATTTGGGACTAAATTGGCAGCTGAGAATAGGTAAATATATTTTGCTGTATATGTTTTTGCTTTGATTTTGTTTCATATATCAAATTCTTTATAGAAAGTAGTAAACCTACCATTTCTCTGAACATAATAGAAACAGAGAAGGAGATTGAACTCTAACATCCCCATCCCAAAGATGAAAGAAAGTCTTCATCCTTTTCTAGACCTGAGGAAATCAAACAAACATATACACCACTGCAGTCTGCCTGCATCATTCCCCCTCTGGAAATTCAGAACTAGTTCATAACATTTGACATGCAGGTCTCAGACCCCCTGCTGAGGTGTGCTCTCAGTGTGCAGTTACCAGTAGCAGGTGCTGCTTATCAGACTCATTGGGGCATCAAGAATTTTTAACAGGTGCCTTACTGTCCTTATAACACTGATAAGAACTTAAAGTTTGCTTTTATATTAGGTGGCTGGCTGAGAAGACACCAATCTTAACTGACAAAATATTCCCTTATTTTATCTTAATCAGGCAATTTACCCATGTTCTTAAAGTTCTTCCTCTCTACAGAAATTGTGCCTTGTATTTTGATCCTGTATCAACAAGACTAATTCTTTCATGTTGTTCTCCTATGTTTGTAGTGAAAGGAGAATTCTCTGAATTCCATAGTGCTGTCTCAGAGAGACTACGTAGTTGAATTATTTGGTGTATTAGTACACACTGTAAGTTTTGGGTTGTCATTGAAGTTGTCAAGCAACATTTTTGGTCTGCGTCAAAAATATCCCGATATTCACAATCTGTGAAACAGCTGCCTGTATCTATCTCTTCATTTTTATTAGACATCATTTATTGAACGTGGTGCTAGGTCAGTGTCAAAGTTGAGAGAGCAATAGTATTATTGAGGGATACAAGTATTACTTACCATCTTTGACAGTGAACTACAGCAGGACTTACATCAGTACAAACACAAAGAAAAGGTAATTGTCACTTACCTTGTCGTAGCTATGGTTCTTTGAGATGTAATCAATATAGATCCTACAGTCCTTGCCTTTGAAGACTTCAAATTCCAGCTGTTTTGAATTATGAGGGAATGGCTAAAAGGTCATGTTTGAGTTTCTCCTTCTGATCTCTCAGTGGAACATGAAGAGGCACAGGGCATGTACACAGCACCAGCAGACAGAGCTGTTAATGGTGTTCTAAGCTCATGTGTTTGGAAGGGATGCACTTCTAGAGTTACAAAATTAATGTCACTTTCTTTTTTTTTTCTCCTGAAGAGTATTAGAAGTGATAAGAAGCTAGCAAAGTTAGGAGAGGTGATTTAGACCTCCAGACTGAAGACAAGAAATGTACTGGGTTTGAATCATGAAGTATTTAGCTATTTGCAGTCTTCATTGCTGCCGGTGAAGTGAGTATAACAGATAGTAGAGTTTGATCCTAGGGATTTTGATGAAATGTATTAAAACAGATACAATCACCAGATGATTAATACATAAATAAGAATTTCGACTGAGGTAGGGCCAAAATAATAATGGCTAATTCCAGTGATGTGCCAAAAATGGTGGTGTTCGGATTTATGGTTTAACAAGAGATGAGAGGGGAAAAAAGAAATAAGGTTTGAGGGTCAAGGAACATTCTACATTATCAGGCTTTGACAGGCAATTTAAGGTCTGAGAAAGAAGAGTAATAGTAGAGTCAGAGACTTGGAACAAAGAGATATGTCATCTATAGTCTTTGAAGCGTTCAGAAACAGGTCTTTGGTTGCATTCTAGTTTTTTTGTTTTGGTGAGGGTAAGGGGGAGGGTTTAAGGCAAAGACCTGGCAGAGAGGGTCTTAATTCTGCAGTGTTTGCTGCCTGCCCAACTAAACTTCCACTGATGCCTGTTCGTCTTAAGTGAAGGCTCCATGGTCAATACAGAGATGTTGAAAGATCAGAGATTAAACCAAAAGGGATGAAGAATAGTTTGTCATTTGGATAGAAGGAATGAATAAATTAATCAACTACTATAGCAGTCATCTGTTTCAGAGACATAAGGTGCAGAAGCAACAAGATACAGTGAATTATCTTCCTTATATTTTGCACTAATAGTTAAAATACATTGTTACAGAGGTTTTTTCCAATGTATTTTTATTCCCTAGCAGCACTGAAAGACTATTTTAGCTTTGGAGATAACTGCTGTCAGGAATGAGCAAACCTATGTTATATACCAAACACAATACACCATAGATAGCAAGAAATTGCATATGTTATGTGTTTCACAGTATAGCATTACGGTGATTTTTTTTTTCCCATATTTTGTCTCTAAAAGTTTAGACGGAGGGGTGCATTCATTAGTCCCTGGTGATACCAAGGTTCCTTAAGTAGTTCCCCCAAACACCATGGAAGGTTGACTCTGTCTTTCGTAATTAGCTTAGCTAAACTTTTGAACATGGTATCACCTTTCTAATAAACGTGGTTGTGAGGAATTATGTAGTTCAGAAACCTAGCTTATGCACTATCATCATCAGAGTGAAGTGCCCCAGTGTTTCCATCTCTGCTAATGGTCTTGGCCTCATTCTGTAGACTAGTGTGGGGAACGGGCACCTAACTGGAGGTTGTGCAGGGTATTGGTGACAGCATGAAAAGGAGTGTTCATGTCTTAGGTTAGCCCTGCAACACCAACAGCACCCTCCTTCCTCTCCTTTTACATTGTTTCTTTTCCATTTCTGGCTGGCCAGAATGGATCCATCTGCTGATGAAATAATTTATTTTAGTAGGTCATTTAGGAGCTCACTTAAATGGTTCGTCTCTTCAGAAGGATCAAAAATGAAAAAAAGAGAAAAGGACATAATTACTGCCTATCATTTTGAACATTGATTTGGGACCGATAAAAGACTCAAAATGAGACTGGTGAGCTTTCTGTCAACTGTGCTCACCGAAAGCACTGTATCATTAAAGGACAGTGGTAGTAATTGCTTAGTGCCATTGCTAAGTTCAACTATTAGTCTGTCAATGCTTGTTCCTGTAATTTAATTTTTTAATGTACAAGTTGTTATTCTGCTGCCAAGCATGGAAGGCCATTATTTGTGTGATTTGTCATTGTGGTTAAGAGTATCAAATAACCTGTATCCTTTACCACCAGCAATGCATCTGTTTGGCCTCAACTGGCAGTTGCAGCAAACTGAAAATGATACATTTGAGAATGGAAAAGTGAATTCTGATACTGTGCCAACACATCCTGTAACTGTACCTGCTGGAGAAAATGGTAAGTGAAACAGGCACCAATTTCTCTCCTTCTTTTGGAGCATTTCCTTTCTTCATGTCTTATTTACATTGCCAGACTTTAACAATTTTCCTCTGAAACTCTGTATATTTAATGGACGTACACAGCATTTGTAAGTAATAGTAATGTTAAATAGGTATGTAGATATTAAACAGGAGATGTATATTAAACAGGAGCTGTATTTCAGTTGAAAAGAACGCACCGTTTCTCCTACCTAGCATGTGAAGGGAGTGATGGATCCTGGACAATAATGTTGATCTTACCAGGAAAGCTGGCTGTCAACAAAAATTCCTCATGGGAATTTACATGTAGTATGTTATAAGTACAGAAAAGCTCCTTCGCATGAGAAGCAGAACCTCCTCTTACTCTAAAATCTTCCATAATGTAATGATTGTTGTGGGTCCTCAGGGGTAGCAAGATGGTACTGAGGCTGGCTTGGACTATCCTGCCTGAGGGGCTGGGGTGGCTGGGGTCTCATGCTGCAGAAGTGGCCACAACAAAGCCAAGGAGCCCGAGGTGACAGGACACATTATTTCATAAGGGGGACCTGATAACAAGGTTCGATCTTCGGAAGTCCCAATGAGCTCTGGATAGTTTTCAGACAAAAGCCTTGTCTGTGGCAGGGGAGGCATAATATCTTTTTCTGAAGAACTAGCACCAGAAAAGGCACTTCAGGGAGGTTTTGCATATTTTCAGAGCTCTCTTAGCTGTGTTTAGAAGGCAACTCATGATCAAGGAGTTTCCTATGGCGTGATGACCTTGCTATGAAATGGCTTCTGTTTATCTCTAGAGATGATGATGATTTTATTTTTTTTTAATTTCTGTCTGAAATGTAATAGGTCATGTATAATATGTTCATTTGTTTTCTCAGTCTCTAGCATCTGAATCATCCAACTAATATACAAAGTAAAAAAAGAAAAACAAAACACCCAACTTTATTAATTTTGTTGTAGGAGCTTTTGAAATACAAATCACATAAAGGGATTATATTTTATCGACCTTTTTCCATGTTGCCCTTTAAGATTCTCAAAACATTAAAGAGCCTGTGCACTTTTGGCTAACGGAGGCTTTGAAAGCAATAGATTTTGAATGGAAAACTTGATTTAAATGGTTGATGAATGTGGTGTTTGCTTCATTACACAAAAATCCATTTTCCCTTTCACAAGGTAGAGCTGACCTCCTTACCACTGAGGAGGAGGGAGCATCTGCCAGCAGCTGACATCTTGAAAATTTTTCAAGTTATCACAGCTCCCAAGTTATAGAAAAGATACCCCTCAGTTCATTCTTTTTGTCATCATCAGAAGCATATGAAACTTCTCCAGCAGGACTTTTTCTTTTTTCGTTTCCTTTACCCTACTGCCGTTTTCTTGCACTTAGATATTCATTATCTCTATCTGTGTTCTTACTTGTTTTGAATTAATAGCAAAAAGCTACTGTATGGTTAATGAATATTGATGCTACAGTGACAGCTCATCATTCCACTGTCTTCTGCCCTCAGTAGCCAGTATACTTTCTCGTATAAAATACATACATGTTTTCATAAATATTCTATAAATATAAATTGTTCTTTTTCCCCTTGATAATTTTGAAATTTTTTTACAAATTAAAATCTGTTACACTTTGTCTCAAAAATAAAAGGAAATAACAAGTATATGAAATCCCGTTTTTCCTTCCTAAATACCGTACAAGAAAACAGGTTTTATTCCATCCACTGTTAAAATGCTGTCCTCTGCAGAATATGGTAAGTGGTCATTTATCAGCATACACTAATACTAACCAGACCAGAAAATACACATTTTAAGCCACAAAAGGAAGGTTAAGCAGAAGGGAAAGTGTGATGACTAGATGTGAAATTTAAGGAGGGGAGCCCTGTGCTATCATACTTGTTACTGAAAACTGTAAGGAAGAATCAGGAAAATCTTGATTTGGATACTTCAACAGCTGAACAACTTTCAGTACTGCCTCTCTTTAGCCCCAGTAGTATTCTTATACTCTGATCTAGATGGGAGAAATTCCCAGTGTTGTATGGGCCATGCATTTTCCTCAACTCTCTCTTGCCTAAACTTTGGATAATACTGGGCCTGCTTTGGTCAGAAAATCATAGCCCACTATGTCCTAGATCCCAGGCATTCATTTGCCATTCAGAAGTACAGGTACTTTGTTTGATATTTGAGATGCATGCTCATGACCTCTGGAGAAAATTCAGCTGTGGTTTACCTAGAAACAGTCATAAATTGACAGTAAAAGCATGTTAAATCATCCTTAAATGCAAATCATTTGGTAAGAGAAGCTTGAATCTCTGAACAAGCCTTTTCCAAAGGTTTTTTGTTTGTTTCTTTTGTGGGTTTTTTTTTTCCTCTTCCAGTGCTTCTCTCTACATGGACTGCTGGCGACATACCACCTGCTTATCCAGAAAGGCATGACTCAGGGCTGCATAAGGTGGCATAAGAGTGTGTATTTTCTAAGGACAGGATGAATTTTATAGGCCATTTCAGTTTAGGTTCTCCAAAGTAATTTGTAAACCGTGTTTAATCAAACACGTTTACTTGACGTGCATCAGTGCTTTATCAGTTTTTATAACTAGGCAATAGAAAAGTTAAAAACCAACTTGTTTAACCATTGTGGTCTAGCAATTGGTCACATCTCACATGTTACTGGCTGGTTTATGTCATATAAAACCTATGTGCAATTTGGAGATAGTTTATGATGTATATGCCTAATTGCAGATTTTTAAAAAGTGTAAGAGAGGAAAAAAGTGAATGGAAAAAGGGGCATTTCTTTTGGCTTACTTAGATGCGCTTTTTGAGATTATACTTATTAAAATACATTATACTTGGGGTTTTTTGTTTTGTTTATGGTATCTCATTAATTAAGGGTATAGTAACTTCTTAGTTAGATGTTGTGTTGGGGATTTTTTCTAAAATGGTATGTGGTGAAGGAGGAATTTGATTTCATTTCTTGAAACGGTTGTTGCAGAAGGATATATAGCAGATGTCTCAAAGAAAAAGAACTGAATACAAGGTTATTCAATGGAATGGGAGAACACGCTATTGACTGTCTGTAAATCCAGCCTTGCAACCTAGTATTCTAATTAGTACTGCCTTTGAAGGATGGAAAATGATATTATGTGTGACACTATATGGCAATTATTGTTGTTTGTGTTTTGGTTGTGCATTCATTTTTATTCTGTGTTATAGATACTCAGTTATTCACATGTATCTTTTAATCTATAGAATGTTTGCAAATAAGGAGAGGGAGTTTGGCTTCATGTCATTTTAGTGATATTTATGAATTATTTTTCCTGTATAATATTGAATTATAAACAATTAAATATTGTTTATTGCTTTAAATATTTGTTTAGCTCAGGATTTTGTCCACCCTAACCTCAGACAGTTGAAATACAATTTACAAATACTAAATTTTACAACTATTTTACCTACTAATTAGCCATAATGCATGGGATTATTGGTATCACAAATGCATCATATAATGATTGTATATGTTAGATAGTATGTGATCTAGCAAATTAATGTATTTTGTAAATTAAATAATACTGTATCTAGCAATATAAGTAATAATGATGATATAAATATTATTTACCTATAAATATTTATGTGTGTTTGTGTTACTGTCTTCTGGAGATGGTCTGTGAAAAAAGAAATTTTAGGGGTAGAGAAGCAGTATAGTGAAAGAGAATATATTTAGGAGGCTAGGTATTTTAAAATTGGGTTTCTTATTTGGACCGTTACGTCACGGAATCGTGTGAATAAACGTGACATTTCATATTTTGACTGTGTATAAGAACTGTTGCTATTTAGAAAGTGAAGAGGAAATTATGACACTACTAAGATTTTTCTTATGCCCATTGAGATACAACAGGGAACAAAGAATAATGAACATCCTATTCTTAGGAGGGCAAACAGCTAGGGATGATTTTGAGAGATGCTTAAATGAAATGAAATAGTGAATACAGATTCATCTTCTAGAATACGTTAAGTCCAAAGTTAGAAAAGCATCAGGCTTATCCTGAAAAGCGTAAAAAAAGTGGTTTCTCCAAGATCAGATATTTCACTGTCTCTTCTCAGCAGAAGTGCTCTTCTCAGCACTGGTTAATATGATGATCCTGTAAGTGAGACATTTTCAGAGACTGCAACACCACTGTGGCACAGCTCTGATGATACTCTAGGCCACTCGGTAGTGCTTCTGTACCTGTTTAATTCAGCAGCAGTCTCTGTTCATCTTGGATGCACAAAAAGTGGCGAGGATCAGTCTGTGACCTCACCTGGCATTTCAGATTTTAATCTCATTTTTTAAAGTCTAAATGTTTGCAAAAAGGTTGTGTCAGTTTGTTCTGTCAAATGATGAATCATGTAGAATTTGAACATAAAAGACAGGGCAGCAACAGAGTGTTGTCAGTTCTTCAGAACACTTGTACACAAACAGGTCAGCATCACTTGAACATGCTTATCACATTCAGATAGATTTTGTTAAATCTTTATAATAGACTAGCTGCTGGAAAAAAAGAGTTTAAATTGGTAAAAACAGTGGACTGTAAGATTTTAACTACAGTTCCATTTTTCTTTATATTGCTTCACTCAAGGCTCACCTTGATATGCCAGCTGCTTAAACATGGCATGCTTGCTTACTCCACAGTTGACATGTATTGGTAGGCAAGTTCTTAGACACATCTTTGCATCTTAGTCTAGATTTGACAGCACTGATTCTATCAGATTGAAGTAGGCTTTGACCCTGGCACCGTCTTCCAAGACTGCCTATGTCCTGCCGCACATCATGAAGGTGGTGTCTGAACATCAGATCTGAGTCTTTGGCCTCAAACAGACTTGATGCAAACTCATCTAAACCATCCCAGATTTTAAAGCTGAGTGGTGATGGTTTGTGCAAACCACTTCTTTAGTGCATCGGGTTTAGTAGTTCTGTTTCCTATGAATCTGGCAGGTAGAAGACACTACCACAACTAAATGACAATTTGTTTGCTGACGAGCTTTGAGGAAGATTTGTAATCTTTGTCAGATTTAACGTGTATGTGTGTAGTACAACCAGGGGCAATGTGGAGATCTCAGAGGTATCACAGACCTGTGCTGTCCATAGTGTCCAGCCCAGTGCCTTTCAGGGTCGTCACAGAATTATAGAATGGTTTGGGTTGAAAGGGACCTTAAAGATCATCTAGTTCCAACCCCCCTGCCATGGGCAGGGACTCCTTCCACCAGACCAGGTTGCTCAAAGCCCCATTGAACGCTTCCAGGGAGGGGGCAGCCACAACTTCTCTGGGCAACCTGTTCCAGTGCCTCACCCTCATGGTGAAGAACTTCTTCCTTACATCCAATCTAAATCTATCCTTTTTCAGTTTAAAGCCATTACCCCTTGTCCTATCACTACATGCCCTTGTAAAAGGTCCCTCTCCAGCTTTCTTGTGGGCCCCCTTTAGGTACTGGAAGGCTGCTATAAGGTCTCCCTGGAGCCTTCTCTTCTCCAGGCTGAACAACCCCAACTCTCTCAGCCTGTCCTCATGGGGAAGGTGCTCCAGCCCCCTGATCATCTTCGTGGCCCTTTTCTGGATCAGCTCAAGCAGGTCCATGTCTTTCTTATGCTGGGGGCCCCAGAGCTGGACACAGCAGTGCAGGTGGGGTCTCACAAGAGCAGAGGGGGAGAATCACCTCCCTCAACCTGCTGGCCACACTTCTTTCAATGCAGCCCAGGATATGGTTGGCCTTCTTGGCTGCAAGCGCACGTTGCTGGCTCATGTTGAGCTTATCATCATCCAGCACCCTCAGGTCCTTCTCTTCAGGCCTTGGGGCTGGAACAGTTTTACCACTTTCATTTATTTGATGATGCTTCACCAGGATAGCACAGAGCCTCGCAGGTTGTATGATACTGTTCTGTACTCCAGCTGCAGTGTAGATTCAGCCTCTGTTGCCTGGACTAACCCGCTTGAACAAAAAGTTTGTTGGGGGTATCTAAAGTTTACAGCTTTATTTTCTTCTTTGTTAATGCCACAACCAGTAGTCAGGTTTTTCAGCATTAGCAATTGACATCATGTGTCTTTTGCATGTTAGCATCTTCTTTGCTTCTTCTGGGCATTTCCAAGACATCATCACTGGCCTCCTAAGGCTAACTGATAGTTGCACAAATGCTTTACAGAGAAAAATCATTAATGCCCTTCAGTGCTGTGTTCTTATTCCTAGTAATTGGCCTGTAGGACAAATACATATCCATGCTATAGAAAATAGTGAAAGTACCACACTTTGACATGCTCATGTATATTTTATTCAAGAGACAGTGTGGACAAGGAGGTGAAAACAAGCTTGGGGCTGAGACTAGGGAGTGCAGAGGATGTAGGCATTATGGAGAGCGAAGGCATAAGGACACAGGCACAGTGGAGCAAGAAACATTGCCCTTTTGGGGGGAGAATGCAAAACCAAAAAATAGGAAACCAGAGCTGTAGACATTGTTAGCATTGTATAAATTCCCTGATATTTAATGTAGGAAAGACTGTATATTAGTTCTCTTGACTGCTTAAGTTTATGTATCTATTATTCTGAAAATCTATATGCTGCATTTCCCTTTACCTTATTTTTTTTGGTGTGAGACTTTATGCTGGAAAACTCCTGTTAAAATACTTGGGGGAAAAAAATGAATAGTTTAATGTAGATCCTAAAACCATTTCCGTAATGCTAGTGATTAGGGAAGTTACAGTATTTTTACTTGGTAGGTATTTGTGGTATCTTTGCCTTTTTATTTCCAAATCAGTGAATTCCCTGCGATCTTATATTCAGAAAGACTGTCAGGTAACATTTTATCTGAGGTGATCCTAAATATCTGATGGCTTGTATGAAGGGTGATTGAAAGCAAGAAAGGTGTGCTAACTTTCGATCTCTTATTATTCTAACCTGTCAGGAAAATCAGGGGGATTTGCACAAGAAAACAACACTATAGATTCTGGAGAACTTGATATAGGCCGAAGAGCAATACAAGAAGTTCCCCCTGGGATTTTTTGGAGATCACAACTCTTCATTGATCAGCCACAATTTCTAAAATTCAATATATCCCTTCAGAAAGATGCATTGATTGGAGTATATGGCCGAAAAGGCTTACCACCTTCACACACTCAGGTGAGAACTGCTTGCATTAAAAGTAGGACACAATACTGAAAATTGTGAGCTTGTATCATTTATATCTTTTTTTCTTTCTCAGGATTACATCCTTTTCCATTTTGCTCAGTTTTATTTTTACTTCTTGTACTTTATTGATCTCATGTGATGTCCAAATAATTTATAATACTGTAAGTGATGGGATCTAAAATGGGTGGGTATTCTTATTTATGAGCTGTTCTGAGTGCCGTGAGCAATGATGATGCTTTAGATATGGAGTTGTTGCATGCGGAATTTAAAGGTACTTTTTTCCTTCTGTAGTATATAGACATATCTTTAAAAACCTAAGCAAACTAATATAGCATTTTATGGCCACACATGTAGTTGAGAGTGCCTGGCAAAGACCACATTAGCCAAATTTCCAAGCAAGATGACACTATTTTTTTAAGGAAGTTTCAGTTTGCTCTACAAGCAAATGCTGCAGTGTTTACAGCTTGGCGTCTCACTAAATAAATACGTAAAAGAAAAAAATACATAATATGTGTCTACAAAGATACAGTGAACTGGCGTTGTAAAAGTCTTAGTCTTCACTAGGCATCTAGTGTCTTGAAAGTTTGTTCTGATGTGTCCCAGGGGATTTATTATGCTCCACCCCTCAGAAGATTTCTAATGACACTTTTTTATTGCATATGATCATGCCTTTGCGTAGTAGCAAAGAAACACCTTCTATGCATGGTTATAGAAAAGTTGAAGTCTAAAAGAATGAATAGCCTTCTCGAGTGGCAGGAGAAGGGCAGAATCATTGTCAGAGACAGTATTTTAGAATCAGTTTTATCCAGATTTTATTTTTAAGATGTAAGACCCTCCAAGTTTACATTTCTTTCAGCTCAATATTTGCCCAAGTGCTGGCTCTGAACCATTTTTCCACCTGGAAAGGGAGTTGAGCTCATGCTCTTCTACCCCATTAGGAGAATTACGCAATGTCTTACTGATTTTTTTTTTTTTTTTAGTTCTATGGATTTGCCTTGGACACATTCCTAAGTATAGCAACCTAATGGTATAACAGAATGGAGCTTGACTGTTGATGCCTCATACACAGTTGCAATAGCAAATCCATAGCTGCAAAATTCAAATATTACATTGGCTCTATTTTTTAGTTTAGTTTCCGTTAAACTACAATTTACTGAATGCAGAAAATACACTTATGTTTATTTAAAATTTTGATCCTCATAAAAACGATTAAATGGATTTTCTTCAGACTTTCACATATGAACACCCACCCTCAGGCTGATGCCAAGCACGAGAAATTCTAGCTCAAAGAAAATTGATTCAGAAAGTTATCAGGCATTGGAAATAGGGGTTTGGAATACAAATGCCATCTCAATGATAACAATAATAGCAGGAGCTAGGAGAATACATGTGTGGCAAGAATGAATAAAACTGAAGAAGCTGATCTGGACTGTGCATTTATATAAGAAGTTATGCAAGTAGATACATCTATGAAAAATGACGATTCCCTATCCTGGCAAAAGATTGAAATAGAGGTAACCTTTATCCAAAAACTTAGGAAAATGAGATAACTAAATCTGTTTCACATCACCTGTGTTACACAGATTCCTTCCACTTCGGATTCGACTGCCCAAGTGCTTGTTCATGTTTAAGGATGATACAACAGAAAGAATCATATGCGAATCCTGGTACTATATCTTCTGTAATTTCTGTGACATTTTGGATATATTGTTCCCAGGATATAGGTCAAGCTCTCTTGTCCTATTTTTGCCTGGTGTATAATTAGAGTATTTTTTACAAACCATTTAACTGACACTTGATACCTTGAAAAGTTAGGCATGCTTACTTATCAGTGCCCTAGTGAACTTCTAGGGCTGCTGAAGGTTCCCAAGGGTGAGGGGTTATCAGAATGTTTATAAGGCCTTGAACCCAATGATGTCTGGTTTAGGTGCCTGAGATAAAGCATGTATGTAATCTCCTAAAAAAGCAGTTCCAGTGAGCAGCTGGGGGAAGGGGGCAGGTTGTGACCATGTTCCTGCACACGGGGGGAAAAAAGTGGACTGAATTTTTTTCTCAACAGTTTAGGCCTTTCTGTAACAAAGTCCTAATCACGGGACTTTGATGAAGACTTGTACTGGTAAAATACCTATTTTACCAAAGTAGCTTATATAAGCAAAAAAGGTATTTAGGCAAAAGGATGTCTAATGAAACAGAACACTGAGGGGTTTACAAGCATAAATCTGTTTATTGTTTTCTTATTTCCTCTAACCCTTATGGCTTGACAAAGTTCTTTACTGCAAGCCAGGCAGAGCTGGCAGGGTCAGTCTAACAGCTAATTCTGGGCTTCACTGCATCCTTCCATCAGATAGGGCAGTTTACTCATATAGCTCCAAGTGTCATAGGAGCGTATTAGAAAAACACGTGAATGTCCATGCTGGGTCTGATCAAAGGCCCATCTAGCCCAGCATTCTGTCTGTGATGGTGACTATTGGCAGATACGTAGAGATTAATATAACAGCATGACAGATTTGTAGTTATTCTTCTTACAGTGCACTCCTGGCCTCCAGCATTTTAAGGCTGAAGGACTTCCCATGTCAAAGGTCCTATCTTTGTATTTTATAACCTTTGATAGATTCTGTTTTCCTGTGAATTTGCATAGTCACTTTGAACCTATGGAAGCTTTTAGCACCCATGACATTTGCAAGGAGTTTCATGGCTTAACTACACATCTTACACTATACTCCTCAGTGTGTTTTGAGGCAGCCTCCTGGTTGACACCCTGTTGGTAGAGGCAGTGGAGAGTTTCTCACCAATTTCTTCTCCATGCCACCCTTGATTTATAGATCTCTGGTGTCCTCAGAGTTGTATTTTTTGTAGTCTGTTTTCATCATTTTTCTATGAAAGCTGCTTCAATCCTTTGATCATCCTTGTTCTTTTCTGAATGTTCTCCAGTTTTACTGCAGCCTTTTCAAGATGGGGAGACCAGAACAGCACAGAACGTAGCAGATGTTTAACTACCATGTTTCATACAATGCCTTAATGATGTCTGCTTTTTTTTTTTAATCATAGAACTGCTATTTCTGTAATCTGTCTACCATAGCTCCAAGATCTCGTCCTAGAATGATAAAAGTTGGCTCAGAGCCCATCTCTGGATGTGTAAAGCTAGGGTTGTTTCATGAGGACTTTGAAAAGTAGGATCTCACTCATATATATCACTTCATGTCTGCATCTCTTGAATGCTATCTGCCCTTATCTCCTAGTCACAGACTGACAAGTGCTAATAACAAAATTTATGCAAATTAGCAACTGCTGCCTGTTTCTCAAACGTCAGTATTTGAATTTTCAGGTCTTCTGTTAAGTAATGGAGAACTGATTACTACCTGCACTCCACCAGCATTCATAAAGTTCCCTTAACAGCTGTCCCCCTACAATATCTTTGCTCATATGCCTATGATACCCTACACATGTAACCACACACCACCATCTTCTTCAGCTCCCTCCTTACAGCTTCGGTGTTTCTATGAATGTTTGCCCTCTATCCATATCACCTTTGGCTATAATGCACTACTTGCGTATTAGACTTGCCACCTTGTTCTCCACTTCTCTCCTGGACCCTTTACCTGTTTATCCACCTCTTTTTCTGTATCCAGTTAAAAACAGACAGTAAATAAGAGGAAACTGGAGTCTATCTTTCCGTAGCTGTACAACCTGTGATGCCAATTATCCTGCCACTGCAATGGACGTAATGAAAGTATGATAGAAATGAGCTTGGAAGAGATCTCAAGAAGTCTTATAGTTTGCACCCTTGTCTTGGAACAAGATCGACTGTATCTAAACCATTTCTATCAGTTGCTTAGCATTTCATCATTATATCAGAATACAGCAAATTTATCCTGTCCGATAATCCAAAATAATAGGGGTACAGCATGTAGGAAATGGTTTGATGTATTTTAATTAGGAGAGAATTTTTCGTTGTGTTTCTGTATCCTCTTTAGGTACCAAAAGCAGTCTCAAGCACAGCCACTATTTGTGTGTCACAAACTGATCTGAGATGCCTAGTTCTCTCTTTCTGGGGAATCATAAATAAATCAACCAGAAATAATTGACGGTGGCTGTCCATTCAAAACCCAGTCAATGTGAGCCTGAAAGTCTTTGTGACACTTTCTAAAAATGTCAGTTCCATTGCAGCCAGAGAATCAATATGTTTATTTAAAGAGACTTTAAGAATATAAGAATGGCTTTGGTTTAAAACAAAACTGAATGGAGTGGTAGGGCAAATCAGTGCATTTAGACTTAATATAAAGGTAATTAATTTATCCTCATAGGAGGAAAATAAAATGGGTATGTTTTTTGCTTATGAAGGTAATTGTTTTTCCAGTCTGTTTGTATTATCGTGTCCTAAATATAAAAAAACAGCCTTTAAAAGGATTAAGATCAATTATTGTTTTTTGCTGGGGGACAGACTGAACAGTAAATTCTCCTCTGTATGGCTTTTTAAATGTAGTCTAAAATCGTGTTCTGATAACAGCGTATGTCCTTATTACATTACAAATACAAAATCATTAATTGTACCAAGCTTGTCTGCCATTAGTATATTCTTTGTGGTCAATCAAGTAGTGTAATCGCTTATTCCTGTATCAATAGTACGGTTTTCACCTGATACTGTCCTCCTACAAAAAATCATCCTCTGTGTCATACAAATTACAAGGTCACTCCTAATATCCATAAATGACTTGTCAAAACTCAGAACTCCTGAGCTTTCTCTTTTTTAAAATATTAGTGAAAAACACAACCAGAAAGAATTCTTCTTGAGTCAGATAGGAGGGAGAAAAAACCCAAACCCACAACTGCTGTTTTTCTATCTCACAAAGTAAGATAAATATTTAATTCTCTGACAAATGAGAATGTTGAGTGGTTTTGAATTACTGGTGCTCTCCCAAAATGGTTGCATTCATTTTTATGCGGTGCAGCACGTTCATTCAGAGTGACAGCGTATCAAGGTACTGGCTTCTACACATCCTAATCACATTATGTTCTGTTCTGCTAGTTCAGACATAGCTGGAAAAGCGTCTCAGGTGTTGATAGAGGCATATTAACTATACATTGCTTTCACATCCTAACTGGTAAGAAGATAATTCTGATTACTGGGGAGGAACATTCTTACAATAGCAGTGAATTTTGGCCTGCAATTTCAAGAAGGGAACATAAGTACTTAAACCCTTGTTCCATGACAAAGGCTATCATGTTTTCTTTTGTCCCAGGAGCAGTTTGTGAAGGTCACAAGTCAGGGTGTAAAACCACTGATTCTTTGGTCCCGGTAAGCAGTGTTATCCTAGCTCAGATGAATCAGCGGTTTCACATACTGGCCTTTACTTTAATAGGCGCTGGATGTAATTCCATTTGAGAGAGATCTCAAACACGTGGGAATATTTGAAGGTTTACATGTTACAGTTCACTTCATACATGTTCACTTCACACATAACCATGTATCAGAGTAAAAGCGAATAGTGAACAGACTCGGCAGGAAAAGCTAAGACTCTCTACCACAAGCAAGCATGCTCTTTAATTTTCCTACCTGTTTAATTTTGCTATATATACATTGATCTTTACATGATAAATGAGCAGAAGAGATCTTTCAAGCCATGAGAGCAGTCTCCCAGATAGTGTAAATCAGTGCAGAGCCTGGAGCAGATTTAGCCCTCCAGGAGTTATCAGTGGTAGTTAAGATTAACATGCATAAAACCTTGTGTTGTGGGTTTACTTATTGTAGCAGCATCTCAGTTGATTTTTCCAAGCCCCACTGATCATAGAAACATTTAAGTTGGATGATAATTGTTATCAATCTGGTGGTTGTTAACAAAAGCATATGTGCTGTCCGTTGACCTGAGGTACCATACTTTTTGTCAGTTTGTCATTTTCAACAGTTTCAATGTTTTATGCTTTCCATCTCCTCTTTTGGGCTTCTGTGATAGGAAGTAAAGCTCTTGCTTTCTTTCCTCCAGAACTCCAGAATGTCTGAAAGGGGGACTGAACAATTTAGTCCTTCATCTGAAACTAAATGAAAAGCAAAGTAGATTATTGGTGTTGGATATTATTATTAACCCCTATGCATGTAACACACTTTGAAATTTAGCTCTTACCTGTAGTTCAGGTGGCAGTCATGACTACAGATTAATTTCAACTGATGTTTTCTTCTCCCAATATAGGCAATAATTTCACTGGCCGCTTGTCACCAAAAAAGCTACTCTAATAAGCACGAGGACTGGTTGGCATTTTTGTTTGAAGTCTTAGCAAGCAGCAAAGAAATAAGCAAGGGCTGGTTTCAGCTCCTACTTCGCTGCTGCAAAAGGAAACTCTTGGTCAAAATACGAACATATTGTCAGGATGTTGTGGGGAAGTTGGCAGTGCTGTGGGTCACCTCATGACTTGTCAAGCTCCTATCTGTTCCTCCATGCAGTATGACTTTGTGGAGCTCCTGGATGGCAGCCGGCTGATAGCGAGGGAGCAACGCAACCTGCTGGAATCAGAGCGAGCAGGACGGCAAGCAAGGTCTGTCAGTCTCCATGAGGCAGGTTTTATCCAGTATTTGGATTCTGGCATCTGGCACCTGGCCTTTTATAACGATGGGAAAAATACGGAGCAAGTGTCTTTTAATACCATAATTATAGGTAAGCATAATCTTCAAAGCTCTTACCAAGTGCTAGGCTCTAGTCAGGTGTTTTAGGAATACAGAGATAAGTTTTCATAGGTAAAAGATCTGACTTTTTTTTTTACAGGATTTCCATTCGTAGTGTTTCCTTTGCTGCTCAGAACAAAATGCAGAATATCTATTTTAATTACTTGATCTAAGGTATAAGGAGTGTACCTTCTTGTAAAACAGTGCTTGAAAGGAGGATGCTTGTTTTGAAGTATTTGTTAAATGGCACAGGGCTGGATTTTAAGTGTGAAGCTCATATGGTTTTACCATTATAATTTGAGCCTTTTGGTTGGAAAGTAGTGTCCTAAGATACTGGAGGCATCAGCAATAGGAAATCACAGCTATTCATGCTCTTCAAATAAACTAAATATAAACACTTCTCTCAGAGTGACAGCGTGCTGTCAGTTACCAGTGGTTCAAATGATAGGTACTTCATGCGGTGGGCATCTGTGAATTATCCTCCTTTTTTTCCCTTTAGAGTCTGTGGTGGAATGCCCCCGAAATTGCCACGGTAACGGCGAATGTGTTTCTGGATCCTGCCATTGTTTTCCTGGGTTTCTGGGCCCTGATTGTTCAAGAGGTAAATCAACCCCATGCTTCTCTCAAGTCAGTTTAAGCGAGCATGAAGACAAACACATCAGGAAAGCAACTGGCATGTGACTTGCTTCTTAGATGTTCTTCTTTAGAAAGCTTTGAGGAAGAACTTGGTTTTAATTTTTCTGCTGTGTTTTATTTCACAGCAGCCTGCCCGGTGCTGTGTAGCGGCAATGGTCAGTACTCCAAAGGACGCTGCCTGTGTTACAGCGGCTGGAAGGGCACCGAATGTGATGTGCCTACAACTCAGTGCATCGATCCCCAGTGTGGGGGCCGGGGCATTTGCATTATGGGCTCTTGTGCCTGCAACTCTGGATACAAAGGAGAAAACTGTGAAGAAGGTAAACAAGTAAATATTTACCTCAGCATCTGCTGTTGTTGGTCAGGTTTCCAGCTGGCACATCCAGCTCTATTGATTTTGCTAGATCTAGATCATATGCACTAATGGTGTTTCTTCAGAAATCATTTTAGAATATGACAAATCAAGTTTGGGAATCACTAGTATTACTGAATTCTACAGAATTATGATACTTTATTTATTCTCAAGTAATCAGTGGGAAAATTCTTAATAATATGTGATATCTTTTTGCTTGCCAGTATATTTTTATTTATTTTTTCTGGCTGAGGTTAGCTAAGAAGAAAGCACACAAAAAACAGATGTTGGAAGACTTACTGGATTTTTCACAGTATAGAATAAATCATTAATGTATTGCATTTGTTAGTGATCTTTTCCACCAACCACATTGTGGAAGGTGCTGATTCAAATGCATCAGAGTGAAAAATGATGCGTCACTTTTGTATTCCAGAGATGTGCATAATAATATTCATTCTGGTGTGCTGCAAAATACAATTCATTTTCAATTCTATTTTTTTAAGGAGTAAAAAGCGCCATTTTCTTCCTCAATCAAATTGATTTTATTGATCTCCACGTACAAAGTAATGCAATTAAGTCTCTGGAATTAAATTTTCAGACCATTGACCCTACAAGTGTAACATTTTATTGAGTCAAATTGCTAAATTAAATCTCGTCATCTAAACCACATTAAAGTGAATTAAGACAGATACACAGTATGCAAGTCATTTATTTCTGAAACACGTAGAGGGTCCTATGCAGCTGTCAAAACTCTGTAGCGGAGGATCGGGTCAGCTGATGCCAAGTGCTGCAGGAAATCCAACCCTTGTTACACTGTGATTAGGCAGAACAGGGATCGGTTGCCCAAGACCCAGAGCCAATCTTGTTGTAATTCAGAAAAATTAGCAAACCTTGAAAGGTTCTCCATTAACATAGTGGTAGCCTGTAAATGTCTTGGTGTCAGTTATGTGCACACGCAAATTTCACAATACAGAAGGTGATGTGGAAGCAAGACATTTTTACAAAGAAAATTGCTGCTATGCAATTACTGACAATAAAGAGTGATTTATCCTGTAGCCAGAGAAGAGAGGCTGGCACCACGATACCACTCTGTCTTTTCCTCACTCGTTGCAATGAAACAAAGGTGAACTTCTCAGCTCCAGCCTACTCTTTACTTTTAAGATGAGTGCAATGCTGCCTATTTCACAAGGTGTTAGAACGTGGATTAGGCCCAAAAGTGCCATGAGCATCTAGGGTTTGATTACTGTTGTTAGGAATGACAAGTTTAAGGTGATCTTTCTCATCTTCCCACAGCGGATTGCTTGGACCCAGCCTGCTCTGGCCACGGCGTGTGCATCCATGGCGAGTGCCACTGCAACCCAGGCTGGGGTGGCAACAACTGTGAAATCCTGAAGACGATGTGTCCTGACCAGTGCTCTGGTCACGGCACCTACCTTCAAGAGAGTGGTACCTGCACCTGTGACCCCAACTGGACAGGTCCAGATTGCTCCAATGGTAAGGGTTAAAAGCACTCACATTTTGTGAAACAGTGGCATCTTGGATAGCAGCATTTTAATGACATTATTGTGCTAGGACCTGACCTGCTGACCTGATGGAAGTCTTTGAGTTGACTTCAGCATGAACTATGACCTAATTCAAAGGTTCAAAATAATTGATGAATTTGAAGTATTTGAAAGGTAATGTATTTGTTGGTGTCTTTTAGCTGCCTTCACCTGGTAACTTCAGGTGCTTCACATGGAAGTACAGAATTTTCTTTGTACGATATATGGATCTAAGTTTCATCTTACCTAATACATCTGTTTAGAAACTTAAAACTGCACTAGTGAAACTAGAGACAGTCACATTTTAAAAATCTCTCCAGCTAATTGGAAGTATTTTTTCTTGAAAACCAGACAGCATTCCAGTTTGAAGGCAAAGGGAATGCAGGAATGAATCCTAAACAGCTTTTGAGGAAGGGTGTGGGCTGCCAGGATGGAAGGAGTTGGTAGGAGTGAGGAAGCAGAGGGATTTCTTGAAGTCTGAAACTGAGCTTATTAAATCGTAGTCTGAGCTTAGAAACAGAAGAAGACTGGAGGTACTATCATAGAGAGCAGAATCTAAATATTTATAAAGTATGACAGCAGCCTTTTGACAAATACAAGTTTTTAGAATATTGTTTGGTAGCCACATATCAAAAGAGAAATAGTGTCTAACTATGAGACATATATTTGTCTAAAACAGTTCATCTAACAACTCAGTTGGTTTTGTTAATGAAAATTGAACACATGGGCTAACTGGGTTTATGCCAGCTTATGAATAAATATAACTTTTTCAGGAGGAACCATCTTTTTAAAACAAATGTACTTCCTGACCAGGATCTGTGATACTCCATAATGGTTTATGCGTACAAGTGTGATAAGACAAGAGTTCCAAACATTCAAGAAAAACAGAGAGAAGAAAATGTCATCTTCTGTTAAATTTGTTTAGAAGAAAACATTCTCTGAACATTTCTAGCACTAAAAATGGCTATTTGTGAGAGACCCTTTCTAGTTCTCAGGCAAAACATGGACCCTCTATTTTTTGCTACAATGTCCTCTATACACTATTTTTGATGATTCAGTTGTGTTCTATCATTTACTTACATTTCAAGGAATGATTGGTTATTAAAATACCATAAAATATTTCTGATCTTCTCAAATATTTGAAAAGTGTAGAACTCACAAAGAGCTTTGTAAAAATACGCACAGACTGTTTGCTGAAGTCATGCAAAATGACCTTCAGAGTGGTACACTAAAAAAGCAAATCTTACCCATAAACATTTTGTTAAGCTGCTAGAAGAAAAAAGAATGAATTATTTCCATCAGAGGGGTTTATAGGTTTGAAATCAGCAGAGCTTTCTTCTATCTTCATCAGCAGTTTGTCCATTAATTAGCCCTTCAATTCCACTTCAATTAAATTAACTCTAATTAATAAGTTCATTACAAAGATTGACACACCTTGCTCAAAGCTAGTGTGCTAAAAGCTGATAAACACCTTCACCCTAATGAAAAATTGATTAGATTGAAGAGAAATAAACCTTTCTTTCTTGGAACTGCTTGGCGTTTCGTGACTCTAAAGTTAATCAAACCATCTTGCATCTCTTAATCAAAAATTTAATTCAAAGTAGATGTAAAATGCTGTATAGGAAAAAAAAGGAGGGGAAGGGGAAATTACAGCTATCTTTCTCTGTAAAGGTTTTGGGCGGTTTCTTATAGGAAATGTTACAGCACCTTGATACTATGTTTAATGTTCTACAGCACTTTGAAACAGAGGGTTATACTCTATGGGGGAAGAAAAACACTGTTGAGCAGGAAACTGGAAACCTTTCTTGTGCTGAATGCTTCTTTCTTTTGCTGTTGAAAATAATTTCAGTCTTTTATTACTAAACTGTTTGTTGCCTTCACAAGAAAACAAAAACTAAATACTTACTTCTATGAACCAGTATGTGGTTACAGCCAGCTGTATGCCAAGGAACCAAAGAAGTCCTTCAGGCTGTATTGTATCTCCTCTTGTTTTTCTGTTATCTGCTTAGCAGAATTAAAGTTTGGTAGAGTCTGACTAAATGAACCAAAACTGTAAATGGAATATCTGGCAGTCTAAATTATCATCTTGTGTTAGCTGAGACTTAATATGCGTTGTTTAGCCTCTGACTACCTTTAGCTGTTAACGTCTTTTTCAATTATTCTATCAGTTACAAGATCCTGTTACTATATGTAAATGACAAGTTAAATTGCTGTATGTTGATTTATTTTTTTTAACAATCTATTATTTAAACTAGACTGTTCATTTACTGAATGTAAAAGAGAATCATCTTTTATATTTAACAGATGTGTCAGTATGTCAGCATAGTACTAATTTGTCTCACTGAGGCTGATTTTTTATAATGAAAAAATGTGTCAGAAATGGCACATTTTTACTTTGAAAAAAAAACAGGGAGCAGGGTAGGGAGGGGAAACCTTGTTAAAATGAACTTTCATTAATACTAGATTTTCACTGACAACACACAATGACCTAGGTATATGGTACATTTAGTCATAGGAGTACACTGTAAGATCTAGTAGGTCTAAGCACCGTATAATCTAAGTTACAAAAGGTTACTCTTAAGGCATATGTGGTCACAAAAAGTGTGACTGAATATTCCTCAGAGCTAACAGAAGAGCTGTGGACACTTAAGCACCACTAAGTCTGCTGGATAACTTAGCATTAGCTAAGTGAGTATTAGCATAGAGATAAAACTCCATACTCTGTATTCTGTTGGGTCTTACCTGAAAATGCCTTTCACAGTACATTTCTTTGATTTAATTTTCAAAGATTTTACCTTTCTTATTCTTCACATGTTGAATTAAAATATAGCACTGCTAATTAATGCATACCTTCTCTCCCATGTGCACTCTCTGCCTCCTTTTCTCCCCCTCTCTCCTCTCGAATTCAGAAATCTGTTCAGTGGACTGCGGCGCGCACGGTGTGTGCATGGGTGGCACGTGTCGCTGCGAGGAAGGCTGGACGGGCACAGCCTGCAACCAGAGAGCCTGCCATCCCCGCTGCACGGAGCATGGCACCTGTAAAGATGGGAAGTGTGAATGTAGCCAGGGATGGAACGGAGAGCACTGTACCATTGGTAGGCTGGCTATGCTTTACCCTGTCTTCACTGCAAAATTCAGAGAGCCAGCACTGCTGGCCACATCTGAATAAGAAGTGTATTACTTTGAAGCTTGTTTCTTCAAACAGAATATTTGCACGTGTCAGTCTGCGTAAAGGAGTTGATATTTTAAGGGAAATGGTTATATAATGGCTCATCAGTTCTTCGTACCTAGTTTGCCATGAAAAGGAGGTGGAAGAATTTCCTGTTCAATCTTTTCCCTTTAACTGCCTTTTGCTGAGGGGGAAGTTACTTTTATTTTAAACTGTAAATATATTATTTGATTTGTGCTTTTCTATTTTTATGTGATAGCTTTATGTCTTTTGGAAATGAAGCTTCCTATTGTTTTTCTGGTTTTATTTCTTTTATAGAGAAGAAGCTCTAAAAAGTGACTTGCCTACACAAAACTGTCTCTTCTCCCTTGTAATAAATGTGATCTAGCTGCCCAAAATTATCCTCTTGTCAATATAATGCTCTGTTTTAGAATTACATCAAATTTCTTGCATGTTAATAATGTAACAGTTTAATACAGCTGATTGAGAAGAAGCTATCCTTATTACAGATTCTATGTTTCTGTAATCATGTTAGTTCTAGCGCCTGGAAACCTCTGGAAATTACTGTGCTTTTATGAACGGAGCTTTTCTTACTCAGTTATTTACAGTCCGTATGTCCCATGTGCAGCGGGATATCCCTGCCCACTGCACAGGGCTTGACAGTGAGCCACCATGAGAAATTATGCATGTAAGTAAGGGGACTAAGAAAAAGTGGAGGAGGAGTTACCAAAAGGTTTATCATTTTTATATTGATTTTGTATAGCTGTAGTGCTAAGGAATTCTTCCTTGTGTAAGACACTGCTGGTCTGTAACACAGGAGGAGGGTCCTACCCAAACAATTTGTGTCTCAGCATAACCACACAGAGAAACTACTGCGTGACAACAGGTAGGAAGCATAGACAAAGGAACTGGCAATGATCTGACTATAAGAGCGTTACTCAAGTGTGTGGGGAGCATTGCACAAAGCTCAGCAAAGGCTGTGACAGGAGTAACAACGTGGCTTTGCAGGTATTTATGGGGCACATCTCCAAAGTGTGAGAAGCATCATGGCTGAGCACTCAGAGGTGGATTGAATAGACAATGAAAGATGTAGCCACAGTCAGACAAAGGCAGCACTGAGTGATGGTGAAATCATGGATAATCCAAATAGTCAAAAATTCCAGTAAGTAAATAAAACCCATAGGTTTATGATTGGAGAAATTGAGGAGAGTCAGTTAAAAGAAGTGATGTAGCCAAAGCAACAGGATAAGGCAGTAAGTTTAATAGTGGTAGAGCTGATGGATGTGAATGTAGCATGATTTGCTTTTGCCACAAACTAAGAAGAGGCTGGAGAATTTTAACTTTCATGGATATTTTGGAAGGGCTGTAACTCCAAATACATTAGCACAGCTAAGCCATCACTGGGGTGTAACCATCTAGAAGACAGTAAAACTCAAGCTGTGTTCCTGGGTAGCTTACAGCCCTGACTGGGTGGTGGGATGGTGATGGTGCTCTGCTTGGCGTTTATGGGAAACAGTGGTATGAGCTTTGAGGACAGGAAAAGTGAGGGCCTGTGACAGCTGTATTAACTGATACCCACCGGTACCCAGGAAGAAGAGACAAAGTTTTATTTTGTAAAAGGGGGTAAGGTGTGAAGTAATAAGATTGATTTGTGAATTATTTTTTACAGAAATTGCAATCAATTTTTTTTTTGTTTACTAATGAGATTGCTCAGACAATTCCCTCCCAGAGGGAGTGGGAATCAAGGTGCCTCTGCAGAATCCCATGCACAATCGGTAGGGTTAACATTTTTGAGGAGCTTCTAGAAAACATGCTGACAAAGAGCGTAAATAGGTGGGGAGAGAACTGCTTTCTGAACAATAAAATAAAGTAAATCTTTAGAAGTAGGATAAAGCCTTTCCCTTGACCGCTTTAACTTGCCAATGAGCAATTACTCAGCAGATCGCTCTGCTGTTGGTCTCAGCAGCTGTTGACCTTGGCAGCATTTCAAGGGTTGTAGTTATACACGGATGAACTGCTCTTGAACAATTTTTCCAACATATTAAGCACAAACAAGTTTTTCCTCAGCACTGGGGAAGCCGGTCTGTCTTCCCACCTGTTTATTTTTTAAATGGGTGTTTACTTTGCGGCTGCTGCTGTAAAGATAGTTTGATTTGTTTATATTGCCCTTACAGCCTCCAGGACAAGTAATGAGGTAAGGGCTCTAGCCTGCTGTTATATTTATTTTTCTTAGAGATGTTTTCTCCAGGAGCCCAGTGTTACAGAGGAACCAGGTCATTTTATTGCTCATTTCCAAGAGTATTTCCATTTAGTGGAGTAAAAATTCCTGCCTCCTCAGCTTGGCAGATGAAGAGTCAGATTGACTTTCTCTCACCTGCCCTAGAGTAGGTAGTAGCTCGTTTTGAGCAATAAATTTCGAAACACAAGGGACATCTGAATGTTTCTCCATACAAACCCATTTTTTATTGTCACCCTCCATTTGTAGGCATTTTATACTACTTACAACTCTCAACTTGGGAGAGAAATTTATGTCATTTGTGTTATGCGTATGAAAGACTCCCACTTTCCCTTTATATATCTAAACATAAGCAATTGCATCCTTATTTCTAAAAGTCATTAACCATTTAGCTGCAGTAGTGTGAAATATTTTAGAAACGTAGATACCTTTGTTGCAGCTATTAGCTACAAGTCACATGAAGTGCAACAGCCTAAATTTACAACTTCTTTGGGAAAGGAATGTTCCAAAGAAGTTGTAAATTTTAAGGGCAATGCACTTTATTCGCTTTTTGGGAAAGGAATAGCCCACCACATCTGTAGCTGGGTGCACAAAATGGGGTAGATATGCATGCATTAATCACAGAGGCACTAACTGGAATGTGTACTGAATCATCTAAATCCATAACACATTTGAATAAAGAGATTGTGGTATTTTTGTGAAGCATGAATGCCATTTAAAATGGTAAAAATGTTTTGCACCTCAACTAATGATTTTTATGTGTTTCTAAATGCTGACTATCTGTCCAGTCTCATTTTCAGTGAGCCCACTGTTTGTATTGTCAGTTGACATGTGTTGAAGGGTAGAAAGAAGGAAAAGACAAAGCTATATCCTTAGTTAAAACAAGGTAGTCCTTTAAGTTACTCCTCTCTATATCTTTTAAGCCCTAGATTGCTTCTTGAGTTATGCTGATCTTTATGTATACTTGAAGATATTCAAATGGGAATTTGGCCAAAGGAAATTCTAATTGATCTGAACTTCCAGAGACCACTTTTTTGTTTTTATTTCAATACTTCAGGACATTGAGACGCAAAATCATAGGTGATTGCAAAGGTTTGCATTTTTTATTCAGAAAAAATTTAGACATCTGCTTACCTGGGTTAAGTATCAGCATTTCCCTAAGGCTGAGGATTGCAAGATTGGAATTGGAAAATAATATACACATATATTTTATATACTTTTGATTTGCAAGAGAGAACAGAATAGACTAAATAAATCAGGGTTTTATTCTTTTTTTTTTTTTTTTTGAAGCAATGTGTGTTTAGTAAGGTGGGCAAGACTGTTTTGACTAATGCAGTAAACCTGATGTGTGTGGCTGATATCCACTGTTCCGTGATGCATCTCTGGCACAGGGTAGCTCCAGCTTCAATACCACAGCTGCTGTGGGCCACACTTATGAGTCATTGCCTTTGCTCTGAACACATACTTCTAAAGATTTATATCAAAGATGTTGAGCGGATAACTACATGCTCGGTGTTGTGATGAAATGAATCTAATAAGAATTAACAAAACTCAAGATTTATTGCTGTTGTTTAGCATCTTACAGGTTTGAACTAAACACTGGCGATGTTTGTTTCAAATAGTAGACAATTTAAGGCATCTAAATTGTTTGCTGTCTTTTCCCTCCTGAGCATTGTAAAGTTTTAACCATTTCCTGTATGCCTGTGAGAACAGGTTAAATCAACAGTTTATGCAAAGCTATGGAAAATCACTTGTCAATTATTTATGTGGTCTGGGAGTGACATTCATGGGTCTGAGGTGAACATCCATATATTATTTTGTGATGCTCAACATGCATCTCAATGTGATACAAGACCACATATGCACAGCTGGTGTCCAGGTGATAGCCTGGATAAAATTTTGCTCTGTAATTAAGTTTTCATAACACATTTGTGCTAAAATATGTTTTTGTTTCTTTTCTGTCCTGGCTGGCAATGAGATCAGTGACCCTCTCCTGTCTGAGTAGTTGTTTTGTGAGATTGGAACAGATGCTATTTCAGAAAGTCTATTATTTTTTGTGATATAACTGACTTGTGCCATGAGTAAATTAAGGTAACTGTCACAGGAAGCCCATAAATATGAATACTTTTCCAGCTGCTTTTCCATTAAACTCTGTTAGCTGAATGAAATTAGTAAATAATTATGTTGGTGGGGAATCTGCTATATCCATGGGCTGTGTAACTTCTCAGTTTTACAATGCAGCCTAATTTTTTCTATAGACCAAATTAGTTTTTGAGTAATCTAAATTGCAAATTGGCCAATTTGCATTAAAACGATGCCTTCTTGTTCAGATTTGTCAACACCTCTTTTTTAAAAAGTCTTTAACATTAAGCATGGGTGGGTAAGACCATCTGTTTATGGAGGTTGCCTGCAGCTCCATTAGTTAACACATGAGACAGGTTACAGCTGTTTAATTGTTATCGCGTTGAACAATTATCTTTCAGTCCAAAATTAATATTTATATATGTATGCATGGAAAGCATGTCGTTAAACGTAAGTGATCTAAATGTGGATTAATATCATTAAGCATTCTTATTAATCCCTCAGGAGGGCTAAAGTTAGCATCATGGTACTTTGATGCTACTTTTGAATGCTGCGTGAGGCTACTTTATCTGGTATGCAGAACTGAAATTCAGATCGAATGGTGGTCC